CCCAGACACCTGAGTTTATTCCCTGGGACTGGATTATCTGGCTGAGCCTCTGTTTTTCCATGATGTGAGACTGCTGGACTCCAGGGGCCTGAGTGTACCCAGCATGAGCCCAGGCTGGAGCTGCACCTGCAGCTCATCATCCACAGCCCAAGGCAGGGGATAGAAGGAGCAAAGCTGAGTGAGAGCTCTGCTTTGGCACATGAAATCCTCGTGGAAGATGTTTCCTGAGCTAAAAGTAGGGCAGGGAATGGGGCAGGGGTCTCCTTGTCCATGCCAAAGCTGATGCAGTCACCTGAGAGAGCACAGAGCTGCAGTGGCTGCAGGGGCAGAACCTGAGGTGAGGATGTCTCTGTGATTTATGGGGTCCTGCTGCTGAAAATGACACTTTAATAGTCTCAGCAGGAGTTTTTGTTGTTGTTTTGGTTGCTTTTTATGCTGCTATGAATATGAAAGCTTGGTGCCTGGCCAAGAGACAGCAAATAGATGTGAAAAACCCCCTCTCATTTGAAGACTCTGTTACTTCTCTCTTGGCCTACAGACAGCAGCATTTAACCTTGCTTATACTGTAACTAAATTGCAGTTTATTGAGCAAAGTGTAAAACTAAAGCAGAGAATTTTCACCACTGGGACAGACACCAGCAGCACAGATGTGTCACACTTCTATTGTGTTTTAATTCCCACTTAAGGTCCTGCTGTCTGGTAAAATATTTTGCATTTACTGCTCTTAAAAGTACTGACAGCCAGTGATGGATTGGTGTAGAACAAGGTGTTTCAAGTCAGGATATAAAAAAAAATATCTAATTTTTACTCTGTGGTTGCCCAGTATTGGATGGAAATGTAATGAGAATTGAGCTGAAATTGTGTATGTTTATCTAATGTATTTGGCTGGGGTGTTATTCCAGAACCTTCAGTCCCAGGTCAGCTCCAGGAAAGGACTGGGATGGGCTGGTTTAGTGTGGAGCACTATCTGAATGTCCTTAGCACTCACAATCAGAAACAAAAGACAGCTCAAACCAAGTGTTCTTTGTGTATTACCATATTCCTCTCCAGCATTTGCCTAATAAAACCATTGCTTATCTCATTATCTGCAGTGAAGCTGGGTTAGGACACCATCCACAGAGCTGTCAGCCCCACAGCAGATCTGTGCTTTTATTCTTCATTTGAATGATGACATCCAAAGCAAACTCATAGCTCTGTGTGCCTTTTGCAAGTACATTTTCTCCTGAGCTGTTTCAGAGAATGGCTTTAAGGACAATTTAAACACCGAGACAGCTTAAGACAGATGATAGGAGGCCTAAATGAAATTTTATTCTAATTTATTAGGGTTGGGGATTTTTTTTTATGTAATGGGATATCTTAATCTGTTTTCTATTCTCTTTCTGTTGTTTAGAAAAGCGAGAGCAGCTTTGTGTTTTCAGTTGGTAAGTACAATATTTGTGTGTGCAATAGAGTTAACACTTTCCAGAGCTGCAGGAGGAGGGAGAATAAAGAAAATTCATTGGCAAGAGAATAAAAAATATTTTAAATTTGGATTAAAATGAGATGAAGAGCCAGCTAAGACAGTATTAGTACGGTTTTTTCCACATGACAGCAACGAGGGACGAGGAGTTTGGGTGGGGGCCAAAATGTCTGATGGGGCAGCAACAAAAACTGGAGCTGTAGCAGTGCAGAGAACAGAGACACTGGGCTGTTTAAGAGATCTGCTTTAAAAACTGATGAGGAATATGCTCTGGAGGGTTCCTGGTACAAGTTAGGAACTGTATTTGTGGAAGTACTGGTGGTGTGGTGATGTTTTTCTGCGAAGGCAGAAATATTTTCATGGCCTGGAATATGAATTTGTGGATTTTGAGGAAGTAAAGGGGTGTTGAGCAGTGACAGAGGAAGGTGTTCAACACAAAGGAAAATGAACCAGGTGGAGTGACAAATAAAAATACAGGTGGTGACAAAATTTATGGGCAGCTGACAAGGCAGCAAAGCTTTGGTCACCCAAAGGCTGTGGCAGGAGGTGAGAAGGAGCCTTGATTTAACCCAGAGATTTTGAGAAGCAATTACTGGGTTATTGCAATAACCCACCCTGAATGAGAAGATGTTTCCAGCAGCAGAGGTGGCTGCAGGGACTGGCAGAGCTGCTGTGTCAGCAGCAGGGGCTCAGCTCTTGTTTGGGGAATTCATGGCCTCAGTTCTCTTTACAGCTGTTGGCAGCAGCCGCCAAACTTTGAGAGCGTTCATTGCTGCCCTGATGGATGGTGGAGGGAGAAGCCTCTGTACTCCAGAATTAATTTTCTGTATTCTAAAGTCTTCCAAATGCCTCTTTAGGGTTTGATTGATGTGACTGCTTTTTATATTTGCCCAATAAAAAATATATTACACACACACCCCCAGGTGTTTTTATGGCACAGGTGTCTGCCTTTCTCTGCACTGAGGTTTATTCCTTTCTCTGTGGGGATGGATTCCTGATGCTTTAGATCCTGCAGAATGGCAAAACATAAAGGTAATCTCTTTTATTTATTATTACATAAATATTACATAAATAAATAATTTTGTGACTACTTTATTGTAAGTACAAATTCTATTGATTTCTCTCACATTCTAAAGATTTTTATTTCTTCCAGAATAACAAAATATGCTGAGCTGGAAGGGACCCACAAGGTTCATTGAGCAGTAGATTTTTTTAATCCATGCTAACTTTGAAAGAACTTGTAACTTAATAACTTATTTAATGGAGCATGAGGTGTGAAAATGTTGCACATTACAGATGTTTCTGATAAACAAATCCTGCACAACACAGTGCTGTAAATGAAAACAAGAGAAAGGGTGAGAACTTTGCCTTTAGGAAGGATGAGGACTTTACCTTTAGGAAGGATGAGAATTTTCTTTTTAGGAAGGATGAGAATTTTCCCTTTAGAAAGGGTGAGAATTTTCCTTTTAGGAAGAGTAAGAATTTTCCCTTTAAGAGGGATGGACTTTGCCTGCTGGGGTTGCACATTTTTTTTGCCTTTACTGTTTGAACTGAGCTGCTGATGCCAGGGCTGTTCTCTGTCCCAGGGAACTGGCACGGATCAATGTGCTCTGAAATAACATTTTGGTTTGTTTGGCCACTGGAGATTGTTTCATGTGTCACTGCCCTGGCTCAGTGTCCCTCTGTGCATTTGGGCACCGCTGGCTTTCACCACAGACCTGTTGTCACACTGTCACCATCAACTCCACACCCAGAAAATCCCACACTGAGCCTTTGGACATCTTTCACTTTATTTTATTATTACAGTATTCCAGCCCTGGCCAGGTCAGTGGGAGTTTTGTTGCAGACAGAAGTGAGGTCTGGCTCCATTTTTTGGCTTTTACCCTCTGTTCAAGCCAGAAAATCAGGGGAGCCAATGTGAGCTGGCAGGGCTGTGCCAATTCCAGCCCTCCCTGCTGGGGATGTGCAGATAATGTTTAGGATATCTGGGATATGAATGTCTGCTCCACTACAGATGCAGAATAATTTTAATTATTATTATTTTTTTAATTGAACAGGAATTTTCACATCCATAGAAATCAAGCCTGGTTTTCTTTTGGAATGTATTGTTAATAAGTCTGTGACATGTATGGTTAAAAGAATTGTGGAAATGCAGCTTGTTTTATCGAGGTAGAGTAACCCTGAATGTGGGGTGAAGCTCTGTTAGAGTTTTCAGCTGCAGGCAAATAAGGAAATGTTAGACAATAAGTCATCTCTTGACCTTAAATTTCTGTTCACCTCTAAAAGAAAGCAAAAATAATTGTACATGTTAAGAATTAAGAAATCTTAATCTTAATTTTAAGAAAAATTCCTGCTTTATTATTTTTTCTTTGTTCTCAGTAACTGTGTTGTTTCTTCTGAGACCACTTCACCTTTTATTTCACCTTCACTTTGAAAGTCTCCTGAAAGATAACTTTGATTTTGCTTTTTTTAGTGCTAAAGCAGCACTAGAACCTTTTCTAACGTGTTAGGAAGGGCTTTATGGTCATGGGAACGAAACCTGGTTGTGAATGAAACCTGAAACCTTTTTCATATTTTTTCATATTTATTATTTTTAATATTTATTATTTGTCATAATAAATACAGTGATTTAAAACATTTTAGGGCCACTGAAATGGGGGGGGGTAGAGGGAAGATAACATCTTTACCTTCTGTGAGTGTATTTTGTTTTACACTTTGGATTATAATTGGATGGGATAAATGATATTGTTGATTTTTAAGGACTACACAGTTTTCCATGAGCTTTGGATGAGGTACTGAATATTCAAATTCACCTGCTCACTTTTATTTTCAGTTACTTCCAGTCATGGCCTTTATTGAATAAATAATCAAGAGCAATCTTGTACAAGTGGGACCATAAATCACAGTTTGGTTCTAGGACATTACAAAGGAGGGGGTTCTGTTTGTTTCTTTCTCTGTAGGTAAAAGATATCAATTAATAATCACTCTGTTGTGCTTTTCTGCTTAATGAAGAGCAGCAATGTTTGATGAAACACCAGTGAAAGGAGACAAATGGGATGCAAGTCAAGGGGTGATGGGCAAAAGCTTTAAGAAATAATAGTTAAAACAATAAAATCCTACTCCTGGAAATCTAAGTGCACGTAAGCTTTGTGGGTTTTTTGGATGGGGAAACCAGATTATGTCATAAAAATATGGATTTTAAAATCCTTCAGGAAATGTTTGGATTTTTCAGGTAGGATCTGGTTACCCAGAGGGGTTGGCAGTGGTGGGAGTGTCAAGGCCAGGCTGGAAGAGGATGAGCTTTAAGGTCCCTTCCCACCCCAACCTTTCCATGCTCTCAACGCTGCTCCACGGCTTTGCAATGAAATTTTCACCAGGGAAACGAAGCTGTTCTCTCCAAAGTGCCCTGGAAAAGGAATGTTTTACCCAGAGAGGATGTAAAACCTGCTGGAAGTGCTGGTACCACCTGGGTAGGGAAATGAAATTGGTTAATTAATGTTCTCTGGGTGCTGCTGAGCCTCGTTACTCCCATGTGCCCCCACCACCTCCACCCTGTGCAGAAGGGATGGAAATTCTACAGCCAAGGGTTATCATTGATCAAGAATATCCATGAAAGGTATTTTTGTCATGAGGGAAGTGGCTGAGTTACCTTTTAGCATAAAGGGAATGAATGAAGAGTAGAGTGAGTCAGGGAGAGTAAATTTTGGGTGAGTTTTGTTGAATACAAGAGGATTTTTGTTTCTCACTGGCTTAAAAAATTCGGGGTTGCTCTGTTTTGGTTCAGCTCACAGCAAATGCTCCTGGAGTTCTTGCAATGGTTTCCAAGGAAGTACATCTTGCAATGTTTTAAAACATAACTGAAGAACAATTTAATTATTTTTATGGTTACTCCATTCACAGCCTTTGTTAATAGAAACTTCATAAGGAAACCTGGAAATGTTTTAATGGAATTCAGGTAATGTTTGTGATACTGACACCCTGGAGAGTTTGGGGTTTTTTATTCTTTGTGGAGGGAAATTTATGTCAAAATGACATTTTAAAGAGTCAGTTGCAAGTGTTGGTGTCCTTGGGCATCCCAAATCCTGAGGGGGGTGGGGGTGTTTTCCCAGTTTGGCTCTTTCACCCAATATTGAGAATATTTCCTTGCCAGCCTGAGCCTCAGACATCCTAAAAATGTACAAAATCACTGGTTTTCCTCATTTTGTCATTGGAATCTTCCACTCTTCCCTCAAATTTATAAAATCTTTACTTCCCTGAAGATCTCCAAAGCCAAATTTTATCTCTTGTCGTGTTTCACACAGTTTTTTTCCCTCACTTATTTTTCTGATTTTATTAATGCTTATCAGGAGTCATATTTTATCTTTAGAATCTTTCTTTTTATATCTTTCCTATATCCAGGTTTATTGGAAGTAGATTAAGCAGGAATAAAAGCTTGGCTTCTAAAATCACTTGACTGAATATATCTTGCCTAATTAAATGCCTTCATATGGATTTTGACACTCCTCACTTTTCGTGTTTGTTTGTAAAGCCATGAGTTATATTTTATTTATTACAGGAATTTTCCTTTTGTACAGGCTGGAAATTCAGTATTTGAGGTTGAGCAGTTATTGGTTAATTAAGCAGCAATTAATAATCTATAATATAATCCAAATATGATTCTTTTGTCCAGATTTTAAATATATATATATATTTATATATTACTTTATTATATTTATCTTATAGATAAACATATTTTTAAAGAAAATAACAGAAGGAAAGAAGGAAGCTTTTGAAGTGTTATTTTAATTTTTGGTATTTTTTTTTTCTTTGTTGTTGTTTTTTGTTGTTTCCTAGATTTGTTTGCTTTGTGAATCAAGCTGCATGTATGTATATATTTATATTTATTTATAATTTATTTATATTTATATTACTGCCAAAAGCCTGCCTGTAACATCTAAGATTTGATGAAAAGAAATTTCAGAGTTTACTGAATTTCTTTTCCCTATAAATCTTTTCCTACTGTGCACAGAAAGATTTAGAGTGAAAAAACAGAGGCTGCACTAAAGCTGAATGCTCAGTATGGAAACTGAAAGCTCTTCAAAAAATAACTTTAGGTATAATTCCTCCACAAAACAGTGAATTGCAAAGTTGATTCTGTTACTTAACTACAGATGCAAAATCATTTCTGTGTATATTTCTGTGTAGGTTTGTTCTTCAAGCACCTCTTATAGGTACAAGTGCTAAATCAAATATTAACATAATTTACTGAATGTCCAAAATCCATCTTCTCATGTAGAAAAGTATTTTTATAAAATAGATAATAACATTAATTTTAAAAATATTTTAATTTTTAGGAAAAAGACCCATCAACAAACCACACCCTGTAGTTTCAGAATTGTTGCACCCCCATATTCAGCTGCTTTGGGCTCCAAAGAGGCAGAAGATAAAAAGACTGATAAGGACAATAATTGGAATATTCCAAGAGATCCAAAGTTGCATCCTAACAGAGTGAAATATTATGGAAGTGCAAAGTTCATGTGGAACTCTCCTCAGATTTGTAAAGGATTTTAAAGCTGGGAAGGGATCAAAATGCTGAATATTTTCTGTAAATGTATATTTCTAAAGGAAAATTTAAAATTAGATAAAATTTCTTCTCACAATTAGCTCTTGACAACTCCAGAACCGCTTGTACCAAACCTCTATTATCTATGTGCTGAAATAATTCACTTTTTAGCTACTGATCCAAATAATTCCTGGCTCTTTTTCCCTTTCCTTTGAATTAAACACGAAGTGGTGCTAAAATTCAGAGTTTGGTTAGAAAAGGCTCCACACTTTGGTTGTTTTCCTGCAGAAAAACCCATTTTCTGGGGAAATTCAGTGATTTTCCAGGGAGAGTTTGTCACTAGGTGGCAGGATCAGACTGTATTAGTGCCAGCATTCCTGAGGATTCATCCACTCCTTTCTATTCCCTAAATACCCCTTTGATTATTATTATTATTACCCAGCATTCAAAAGCATCAAAATGTTACAATAAATTCTATTAATGCAACTCTTTTTGATGAGATATTATTTTTAATAGCAGACATATCACACTGGACTCCAATATTCCCTTTGAGCCAAAACCTGTTCATTTTTGATAGAGTATTAAAAGTGTTTTACTACTCAAATTTGTAATGATGTATAAATAAAAAACGTTGGTTTTCCAAAGGTGTCTATTATTCAGATACTGCCTTACCCACATGTGCAGATGAGGTATTTATTGTGAAAATGGCTTTTATTTTTTTGCTGTAAAATACCATTTTTCCTTTGAGAACCCCCAATTCCCAGCTCCAGTTAAAAATGTTACAAATTAGATTTTTTCCTGAGTCGGCCAATTTGAAATCTCTCTGGTTGGGGACCTGGGTAAAGCTGGAAAAACTCTGCTGTAATTGGCATTTACATTCTGCTCTCCATTTATTCCATCAAAACCAATCCTGGTGCTCCAATGGAATATTTTGGTGCCTGGATTTGACAGATGGAGCAGCCATGCAGAACCTGAGGAGATTTTCTTTTGAGGGATAAAGCAAATGTTTGGGAAGCATTGGAGGGAAATCTCTGATCACTTGTTATATTCTGAATTCTCTGGGATATTTGAAGGAACAATTTCATTTTCAGGGTTGTGCTACAGGTTGTGAGCCAAGAGTGTGCTATGGACATGGATTAAAGGTCACCAGCCCTAAAGAATCCCTCACTTTAAGGATCTTTTATCTTATATTTATGGTTTATCTGTCTTTTATTTGTCTGGTTCCCTGCCAGAAAATAGCCCAGGTTTAAAATTAAAGTATTAATTAAATTGTTTTCAAATTTTCATATTTAAATTTAAAGATTTTAAATTTAAAGATTTTAATTTTAAATATTTTAAATTTAGTAATGAAATTACTAATTCAAGGCCTCCTTATATAGGTTTAAATAATTAAAAAAAGAACAACTTAAATGTGTTTTCTGAGCAGGCATGAGGGAAAGATTTGTAATTTTACTTTAATACTCACTTTAATTATTTTACTTTTAATTATTTTATTTTAATACTTACTTTAATATGAACTAAAGTTATCCTGTAGATTAAATTATAATTATAAATTTCTCTAGAGCGCTCCCTGACATAATTTTAAAAATAATAAATAAAATGCTACTTGTTTTCCTTTTTTTTTTTTGTTTAGATGATTTCTAAAATCATTTTTTCCTCTGCAGGTTGCCCAAGGTAAGCAGGTGGAGAGAAGCATCTGTGGACTTTAATGTGGATTATTTCAGGCCCTCTGGGTTGAGGAAGAGCGTGCTTATGATGCCAGGTTTCTATCTGTGCAAGTTTAGACATCCATGTTCTTGGAATTCTTTGGTGAGATTCAATTTGCATTTCTTTTCAGGTGTCTGAGTCGTGGGTCAGTGAATATTTTGTCTCAAATATGTTTTTAAGGATTTTGGAAATTGTGAAAAAAGGCTGCTGCAGGTGCCCAGTGGGGTGAGATCCATTATAGGAAAGTTTAACACCCAGAGTAACTTCTGGCAGTGGGGAATGTTCAGCAACCAGAAAAATATGTTTATCATAAACAATGAACACTATATATGGCTTTTTTTCCCACCAAAAATGATATTCTTAGGCTTGAATAATATCTGCCTGAAAACAGCCAACTCATTTTAGAGATTTTCAGGAGTTTTGCCTGTTTTCAGGTAACACCTGCAATGACTTCAGGAATCAGGTTTTTTACCAGGAACCTTTTTCATTTCATCTCCAGGTGGCAATTGCAGTTTTTTCCCCACAGTGAGAGAGAGCTCCCCTAAAATGTGAATATCTGTTTCTAGAGATGCTTTAAACTGATAGTGCTGTGTGGAATATTTGAGACTTAGATGCAATAAAGAGAGCTTTAATAGATTCATTTGTTTTGAAGCAGAGCTTGCAAAGCTGAGATTTATTTCTTCTTGCATTTGTTACAAACTTTCAGCTTCCCAAGTAATCAGAGCTTGGTTAAACTGATTTTTTTAGTTGAGAAGTATTGGGCACTGTGCTCAGACCATCCCAGGATCTCATCTCTGCCATAACCTAAAATAGGATATTCTTTACAAATCCCTGCTCATGGCTGGAGTGGAACAACTGTGGAGAACCCAGTGCAGTAGAAGGTAAATTATTGCAGAGATTAATCAAGTTCCAATCAGAGATTAACCCTGTTCCAAAGGTACACCTTGTTTCTGCTGTGCTTCATTCCTTCAGCCCTCAGTCACTGCATCTCTGCTCTGCTGGAGGGCTCAGGTGTCAGCACCAGCTTTTCCCCCTCTTTGGACACTTTTTAACTGCATTTGAGCTTTTATATCTCACACCAGCACAAATCAAAAATACCTTTCCTACTTTAGCTGTAGCTATCTCATATATCCACGTACATGGTGTGTGGGTCTCTGTAAATCCACACGTGGAATAAGTAGGACAAGAAGGATGGTTTAAGCCTGAAATAAATTCTTGCACCAACTGGCCTTTGTTACAGTTTATGTCTGATTAACACTCAAAATATTTTACCTCTGGTTTTTCATATCATGTCTGCACATTATAAACAACAAAGCAGAATAAGTTTCTAATTTGTATTCAGCTGGAAATATGTTCTATAAATCAGAAGAGAAGTTTGCTCTCCCCCTTTGGTGAAGTACAAGAGAATTCTGTTTCAATGAAGCATGCAATTTTAATCAATTGTACCCTAAGAAAAGAAGACAAACAGCTGCTGCTGGTTAATTGGTGAATGTCTCCACCAATGGACTCATCATTTATTCACTGCCTTCAATGCTGAAAATAAAGGTGTTAGCACCCTGCAGTAGGACAGCCTGCACATTTGTGACTGAGCAGCTCAGATTGTACATGAAGAATTTATTTCAAGAGACAAAGATGTGACCTTCACCCTCCCAGCTCCATTGTTTTCATCTAATAATCACATCTCCTGTGAAAGGTCAGATCTCTTGT